ACCCACATGTACATATTTATGTATACATACACACCTATACGTATGCACATACACATATGTGTCTATAACAACAAATGAATGATAAAATATGTACATTACCCGAACTTGATCTTAAGTTCACCTTTTTTAAGGTACCGCTTGAAAACCTTCTGTTGAAAATAAAAATATTCTACTGATATTAAGAAAAAAATCAAACTCGGAAAGTGTAATACAGAAAAGTGTTTAGGAAGAACTAAAGAAAAACAAGTGATGGATGAAAATATAGACGAGGAAGGAAGTCGAACCCGGTAAATAGGATTAGATTCAATACCTACTCTGGAGGATCACGGACGTACTAGCAAATTACAATAAATATTGATAAAATGAGGAAAGAAGGTGATGTTATAGAGTAAACGGGAGATGTTACATGAGAAAAGCAACATAAATAACACGGTATATTACACAATATTTGAAAAACACCCTCTGATAATGCATTCAAAAGAAAATTCTATACTGAAACTGTAATACAGGAAGGCCACACGATACGAGACGACAAAAAGAAATCCAGATAAGTTAAAAAATAATAATAATAGCTGACACTTACGGAAGCAAATCGAGCGACACTGCATGTAATCGTAAGAGAGAAATACACACAAAAACACTTAATACAAATTAGAATCCAACAAGAATGGAAATATACGGAAGACAATAGATTATCTGCACAGTATAGGAAATAGACAGAGATGGCGCAAAAACTCCACAATAAAATCAACATAAATTCGACACGAACACTTAACACTTAGGGAAAGATCATTGAGATTATTGTGAGAACATTATGAAAAGTGAAAATATGAATTACGAAGTCACATCTCTATAAGAAAACAGTTTTAAGATAATTTTCAACTTTTTTTCTATTCATCGGAAACTTATTTCTTGAATGAAAATAAAAGATTGGTTGTTCCAGTTTAAGTAGCCTGCTGTTCAACTTAAATACGTAATTGATTCAATCTAGGCTTACTGCATTAAAACCTAACCGAAGATGTAAGAACATGAACTCGAAATGAAGTAATATGTCATTCTAGAACTATTATCAAATCTTTGAAGTGTTGTCATGAAAAAAAGAAAATAAAAAGCTCAATAGGCAACTGTAATTTGTTAAAACTACCCGCAAGTGTTCAGACTAAGATTTTAAATAAGCAAAAATTCATTTCTTTATTCCTGGAGTCCTAGAATATTTTATTTCCTCAATATACCCTTTTAATTTCTGAGACTATACTTAGTAGCTAACTCTCCCTTTAATCGTTAATGCGGGGGACGCCGTTCCTAATTTCAACCGCTGTCCTCTGGGTATTCGAACGGTCGACACTCGCAAAGAATGGCGTCCGGGTGGAAGACTAATTCCGGAATTACCGGTCTGTTTTAACCCTTCTATACCAGGAATACGCGTCACTAAAATAGTCACCCTTAGTTTCTCGGGCTCTGTCCTGCTGGATCATACAACAAGGGTGTATTTCAGTCAGCGGAGTAAAAAAAAAAAAAATCCTGCTACACCTCGTCGGTTATATGGAACCTCAATCGAATAAGTTAACTTTCAGTGAAATGAGAGAGAGAAATAAATATATATTTGCCAATCCTCACCGTGACAATTTCATATCCATACGTTGACATATAAACTTTTTGATCCAGACAGCTATAGTAACTGATGGTTAAACATTTGATAGATCGAACCCTGTGTGAATTCAGCGTGTTAATCAAATAAAACTGAAGTGAGTTGAAGTGAATGAAGCAAATCTATCACCAAGCAACCATAGATTTATTAAATAGACTCCACACTATAAGGGATATTAACATCCCTCATGGAAATTCAAGTTGGACCTGGAAACATGGTCTTAGGAAATAACCTAGTACCGACCTTATTTTCAGAGAAACAAAACGCGAAATTACATTCTCTCTCTCTCTCTCTCTCTCTCTCTCTCTCTCTCTCTCTCTCTCTCTCTCTCTCTCTTCTCTCTCTCTCTCTCTCTCTCTCTCCTCCCTCCTTCCCACGCTCCCCCCACCTCTCTCTTTCTCTCTCTCTCTCACACACACAAACACACACACACACACACACACACACACACACACACACACACACACACACACACACACACACACACACACACACACACACGCACACACACACGCACCAACACACACACACACACACACACACACACACACACACACACACACACACACACACACACAACGCTGTAAATGTAGGGCCTACTCCTATCTCACCATCCCTGCGTTTCCGTCCATGGAGACCTAACCTTAAATGAGAAAGTTAAAGAAAATTGAAAATAATTTCCCAGTTTTGATGTCACAGAAAACGGGAAACGAACTTGAGAATTTTATCAAAATCTACATCTATGAGAAGGTATATGATAGAACATGCTCGAATAAACAAATTGAAAACGCAAAAGAATGGATATAAAATAATTAATTAAATAATGAATGATTAATATTGATAAAGCAAGTAACAAAAGACAAAAATATTATTGAAATTTACTTGGGAAAAAAAAAAAACATGTTTAAAAGGACTTTTTCCACCCATTTCATGACGTAAATCTTTCAAAAAATAATTTACCTTCATGTATTTTCGTTTCCTTGACGTGTGCTTATTTCGACACATTTTTCTCGTATAATTCGCCCATGAATTTCCAGTTAGGAGCTAATTAAAGATAAATAAACAAAATTCTAAACACAAACAGAACTTTGGTGGATTTTCTTGCTTATTCACGTAAACAACTTCTTATTCACGT